TAAAATCAAATTATATTGCATTCCTGCTCAAAAGTCCTCTGAAACTATTCTCCTTTCTGTCTCCCTTGCCCAGCTACCATCATCTCTTACCTAACTTACTCTAACAGCCTCCTAACGTGTCACTTTATTTATCTTTTGTCTCCCTCAATGCCTTTTCCACTTGAGGGCAGACTGCTCTTTCCATAATGTTCATCCAATTATGTTTAAATCTCATTTTGTTCTCATCAGAGTTTTACTTGCTATTTCTTCAACTTTTATATATTCTCATTCACATCTTTGGCTATTTGTCACATTTTCATTACTTGGGACTCAACACAAGCTGACTTGTCACTGTTACCATAAAAGAATGAATAAAATGTGTTCCGGTGGGAATACATCTAGGTTTGCCTGTTGGTAGTGACAGCCATTCTGTGGACCCAGATCTCAATTTATACCTAAGAGGCTTTTCTTTCACAACTCTAAGGGCCCAATCAATTTTCCTGAGTTTGGTAAATCTGGTCTTTCTGTCTTACATTTACAAAGATATTCAACAATAATACTGAATGGTGGACTTTAAAATTGCTCATATTTTTGTTTTTATCTCATCCCTAAGCAGGTTTCCTTCTGATTGGACACTGAATACAAATAATTCTATCTTCAGTGGCTATCTTTTTCTGTCTAATATTGCATGAATATGGAAAACATCAGTCAAAGGCCTACCAGTGCTTTGTTTCAGGTACTATAACTCAAGTTTTCTTGAGATAGTATTTATATAGGAAAAGCAGGTACATTTAAGTCATGGAAAGTTCCAAATCTTAGCTTTGGTGTCATCTGTACCACTCAGGAGACATCTGTCATTTCTGACTATTGATTAAGTGCAAAGGAACTGGTTATAGGTAAATTGAGTGAGTTTTATGTGAACACCTGGTCCATATTAAAGGTTATGTATAACTTGCAACTTAATTTTTCCATGACTTGGTGTAATAAAAAATAATTTTCTAGTGAATCAATTAATGCTTTCAATTGAACTAAAACAGAAATATACTCTAGTGTTCCTGCTCTGTATATTTGTAATTCACACCCTAAAAATTTGAACTGACCCCGCCCTTCACCTACACTTAAATAACAGCAACAAATATCGTATTACTTTACACACACATATTATGGTTCTGTTAGCATTATCTAGGAGAGCTGCCTTAAAAGACAGCTAGTCCTGTTACATGAAGGAGTACAGATCAACTATTTCAAAATGGAACTCTCCACAATTCAATTACTATCATGTATATCACACTTGTTTAACTTGAAATTGTGCTACTCTTTTTTAAAATGATTAATTAGAGATTAAATGATAAAGGTGGAAATTTCCTTCTTCTATTCTAATATTTTGTACATGTTGATTTTGGCCCCTATCAGTTATTTGGACTCTCATTTAATTATTTTGTACAACATGAAATCAGAGTTATTTGACAAAGACTCCTTAAGTTCAGTTCAGTCATTCAGTCGTGTCCAACTCTTTGTGACCCCATGGCCTGCAGCTCGACAGGCTTCTCTGTCCTTCACCAACTCCTGGAGCCTACTCAAACTCATGTGCATCGAGTTGGTGATGCCATCCAATCAATTCATCCTCTGTCATCACTTGCTCCTCCTGCCTTCAACCTTTCCCAGCATCAGGGGCTTTTCAAATGAGTCAGTTCTTTGCATCAGGTGGTCAAAGTAGTGAAACTTCAGCTTCAGCATCAGTCTTTCCAATGAATATTCAGGACTGAGTTCCTCTAGGATGAACTGGTTTGATCTCCTTGCACTCCGAGGGACTCTCAAGAGTCTTCTCCAACACTACAGTTCAAAAGCATCAATTCTTCAGTGATCAGCTTTCTTTATGGTCCAACTCTCACGTCCATACATGAGTACTAGAAAAACCATAGCTTTGACTAGATGTACATTTGTCGGCTAAGTTATGACACTGAAAGATGAACTCCGCAGGTCGGTAGGTACCCAATATGCTACTGGAGAAGAGTGGAGAAATAACTGCAGAAAGAATGAAGAGATGGAGCCACAGGGAAAGATTCCTTAACCCCAGAGAAACTGTTCATTTCTAATTGAAGCTGGCTTTGCCTTTCTTCAGGGAAATGAAGGGTTAGGTATTTCCTTGTTTAAAAAAGAATGCCCACCTAAGGAGGGTTCTAGTGCATGCGAATGGGCAGGTATAGAGTCACTGTTGGATTCAATGACCTCCTCCTACCCCTCCCAAAGTTATCACAAACTCCATCATCATAAAAGCAAAAGTTCTATGAGTAATGTTTAATAACACAATTTGGGGATTTTTTGCCATCTTACTTAAAATTCCTGAAACTTTCTATTTTTCTTAGAATTTTAAACAAACTCTTGAAATGATCTAGAATTTTTTATCTTCTGCAATCTCATTTTTTGTTATTCCCTCTACCTAGAAGGAGGAGAGTGGAAAAGTTGGCTTAAAGCTTAACATTCAGAAAACTAAGATCATGGCATCTGGTCCCATCACCTCATGGGAACTAGATGGGGAGACAGTGGAAACAGTGTCAGACTTTATTTTTTTGGGCTCCAAAATCACTGCAGATGGTGACTGCAGCCATGAATCAAAAGATGCTTACTCCTTGGAAGGAAAGTTATGACCAACCTAGGTAGCATATTAAAAAGCAGAGACATTACTTTGCCAACAAAGGTAGGTTTAGTCAAGGCTATGGTTTTTCCAGTGGTCATGTATGAATATAAGAGTTGGACTGTGAAGAAAGCTGAGAGCCAAAAAATTGATGCTTTTGAACTGTGGTGTTGGAGAAGACTCTTGAGAGTCCCTTGGACTGCAAGGAGATCCAACCAGTCCATCCTAAAGGAGATCAGTCCTGGGTGTTCATTGGAAGGACTGATGCTGAAGCTGAAACTCCAATACTTTGGCCACCTCATGCGAAGAGTTGACTCATTGGAAAAGACCCTGATGCTGGGAGGGATTGGGGGCAGGAGGAGAAGGGGACGACAGAGGATGAGAAGGCTGGATGGCATCACCGACTCGATGGGCATGAGTTTGAATAAACTCGGGGAGTTGGTGATGGACAGGGAGGCCTGGCGTGCTGTGATTCATGGGGTCGCCAAGAGTTGGACACAACTGAGCGACTGAACTGAACTGACTGAAAGCTACCTCACTTGATCAGTTTCCAGTTCCTTTAATTTACTGAGACTTTTTTTTTTCAGCTCTGTGGCTTTATATATTCTAATTCCTTTGCTTTTTTATAAACAAACAAGCATGCCCCGTTTACTCATTCATAAATGTTCTTTTCTTATTTTTCCAGATTTACTGAGGCATAATTGACAAATAAAATTACATATATTCAAAGTGCACAATATGATGATTTGATACAGAGATGCATTCTAAAACATTTATCACAATTAAGTTGATTAGCACATCCATCATATCACATATTTACCTGTGTGTTTTGTATGTGTGGTGACAACACTTATGATCTACTTCCTTAGCTGACTTCAAGTATACAATGCAGTATTATTATCTAGTCATAATGCTGTACATTAGATCTACAGAAATTATTCATTCTATGCCTGAAAGTTTGTATCCTTTGACCAATAGCTCCCCATGCACCCCCACCCCATCTCCTGAAAATAAGTGTTGTATTCTCTGTTTTTATGTGTTCAACATTTTTTTTAAAAAAATTGTTTTAGATGTCACATATAAGTGATACCAGTATTTTTCTTTCTCTGTGGGGCTTATTTCACTTAGTATGATGCCCTAATCTATGGTGATCACATATAGCAAGATTTCCTTCTTTCCTGTGACTGAATAATACTCCCTTGTGTATGTGTGTGTGTTTATAGTCTTGTTTATTTTTTGCTGTTTTACTTGTGTTTTTGGTATCATCCAAAAAAATTATTGTCAAAACCAGTGTGAAAGGGAAACAAAAACAGACTCACAGATATAGAGAACAAACTTGGGCTTGCCACAGGGGAGCTGGAGGTGGGAGGAGAGCAGGGATTACCTGGGAATTTGGGTTTAGCAGTCGCACACTATTTTATATTGAAGGAATAAACAAGGTCTTACTTTATAACATGGGAACCTATATTCAGTATCCTGTGATAAACCATAATAGAAAAAAATATAAAAAATAATGTCTATATATGCATATATATATACACATACATATACATATATATACACTCATTTTGGAGTACACAGAAACTAACACAGCATTGTAAATCAATCATACTTCAATTAAAAAAATTTTTTTAAATCACAGCCTTGAAGAATTTTATCCTACATTAGCTTCTAGAAGTTTTACAATTTGTGGTCATGTATTTACATCTTTAATTCATTTTGAGTTAAATTTTGTGAGTGATGCAACATTAGTATCCAGTTTTACTATCTTGCCTGTGTCTACCCTTTTCCCAACATCATTTTTTAATTAGTGTCTTCTCTCTACTGGTACCCTTGTTGACCACATAAGGGAAGGTTTATTTCTTGGCTCTCTCATCTGTTTCACTGATCCATGTGTCTCTTTTTATGCAATTCTATAAACACCATATTATTTTTATAACTATTTTTTTATAGTTCAAAGTCAGGAATTGTGGTCTCCAGCTTTGACCTTCTTGCTTGAGATTGCTTCAGCTCTTCAGGCCTTTTGTGGTTCCATAAAATTTTGGGATGACTATGTTTCTGAAAAATATCTTTAGAATTTTGATAGGCATTCCTTTGAATCTGCAGCTGGCTTTGGAAAAATTTTGATATTCCTTAGAAACATCTTTATAAAGAAAAAATATACTGCACATTTTATTTATTTCATTTAAAGTTTTGTATCACATTAGGGAATTCAAAAGAAATTGCCATTTTCTGGTTTCCAGAAATAATATTTAATATGTACTATATATTATTTCTTAGACTAAAATTTTAATTTTTTGTAATTGATATGGCTGGGAAGACTTCTGACAAAAATAATAAAGAAAACAAAGCCACAGCCCCCTGCCTCCTAGATTTCAGACATGTATCAATAGGACCTCATAGGAAAGAGCAGAAAAATGACTTTGTTTCGGATCTTCTTGGTCTTTACTCCATAGACAAGAGGGTTGAGGGCAGGTGGGATAATGACATAGAGGTTGGCAAACACAATGTGAAAGGTCCGAGGGACATTATGTCCAAAGCGATGTGCAAGGATGGAGAAGAACGCTGGTATATAGAACATGAGGATGACACAGACGTGGGAACCACAGGTGCCCAGGGCCTTCTGGCGAGCATCCTGAGAAGGGAGGCGAAAGACAGCACAGAGGATGAGGATGTAGGAAATAGCAATTAGAATCACATCTGAGATGACGGCCATAATGGGAACACAGAACCCATACCAGATATTGATGGAGATGTCAGCACAGGCTAGTCGGGCAACACCTATGTGCTCACAGTATGTGTGAGGGATGTTATGTGTCCTGCAGAAGGGTAGACGATTTACAAGGAAAATACATGGGAAAATAACACAGAAGCTTCTGAAGGAGATGCCCACAGCAATTGTGACAATGGTCCTGGGGGTCAGAATAGTGGTGTATCTCAAGGGTGAACAGATGGCCACATAGCGGTCAAATGCCATGGCCATCAGTATAGATGAGTCCAGAACAAAGCTGTAGTGCAGAAAGAATAATTGTGTGAGACAGCCGGGAAAGCTGATTTCCTGAGGACCAAACCAGAAGATGCTCAGAGCTTTTGGGACACAGGTGGTAGACAGTATGAGGTCAGTAATAACCAGCATAGAAAGAAAAAAGAACATCGGTGTATGAAGACTATGCTCCATTGCAATGAGAAGGATACTATTACCCACAATGGCCATGAAATAGATGAGGCAAAAGGGGATGCTGATCCAAATGTGGTACTGCTCAAGTCCTGGAATTCCCAAAAGGGTGAAGGCACCTGTGTTGTAGCCAGTCAGATTGTACATGGTCATGGAGATCTGATGAATAGCTTCTGTGTCCTAAAACAAATTGTATGTAATGAACATTTTTAAAAAATCATATGGTAATTCTTCTTGCAGCATTTTCATAGGGTCAGTTCTTCTCTTTCTTATTGCCAAGAAAGAACCTCTCTTTTCTATTAACACAATGCTCATCAACTCTAGAAACATGCTAAAGAACCAGTACTCCTAGTTATAATCACTGAGTCTCTCCAAGATATTCTTCAAACTGCCTAAAATGTTATTTCCATTTTAATGACTCAGTTTTCCCTGGGTCAATGTAATGTGTTGCTGTATAGAGAAAAACGATGTAACCACACACATGCTGAGAGAGAGAAGGAAAATTAGAGAAGTAGGGGCATAATTGTGAAAAGAAGACTTGTCCCATGGGCCAGACTCTCATAAAGTATCATTTCATTTAGAGCAATCTTCTGAGAAATTTGTTTTTATCGTCCTCATTTTTAAAATAAAAATGAAAGCTCTGAGAGCTGTCTTACCAAAGATCTCATCTTTAGTAACTTGCAGAGCCAAGCACATTTGAGTCCACAGACAATAGTGATTTTTGCTGCTGTTCCACTCCAGGGACTTCCTCCATGCCCTGTTAGACAAGAAGAATTGAGAGGAGGCAGGAGGTGTAGAGAAGTGTTTAAGGAAAGACAAAAACTGGAGCTGTAGTTTGTCACACCAGCCCTATTGTAGTTGGAGTGATTTCCCTGACACAAGAAAGTCTTGGGATTTACAGATCATAATGTTCTCTGAGGCTGTTATTTGATGCCTCATCTTGGATTATAGTGTAATAGAGGTTGCAGCTCACCCTCCAGCCCACTCTTAGGATTAGCGAAGTGAGTGAAAGTCACTCAGATATGTCTGACTCTTTGTGGCCCCATAGGCTACACAGTCCATGGAATTCTCCAGGCCAGAATACTGGAGTGGGTAGCCTTCCCCTTCTCCAGGGGATCTTCCCAACTCAGGGATGAAACCCAGGTCTCCCGCATTGCAGTGGATTCTGTACCAGCTGAGCCACAAGGGAAGTCCAGGATTCCACAGTCCTAACATTGCTGGAGTGAGTAGCCTATCCCTTCTCCAGCAGATCTTCCCGAACCAGGAATCAAACCGCAGTCTCCTGCATTGCAAGTGGATTCTTTACCAACCGGGCTATCAGGGAAGCTGAGGCAATTATTTCAACTGTGCTTTTTGATAAAGACAGAAATGACCTCTAGTGGAAGAAATACAGGATTTGTATATCCTAAATTCTGAGTTAAGATAAAAGCAAATAAGCAACCTCAATAACAACAGTTAATATTTCTTGAGAACATTCAGTGTACTTTGTCTAAAGCTCTGTACATGAAATCTCTTCTTTGATGCTCCTAACAACCTTACAACATAAGCTGTGATCATTACTCACACTTTCAATATATAGAAGCTGAGGCAGTGAGAAGGTAAGTAACTTGCCAAAGCCACACAGTAAGGAAATCAGTGTAGGTGTCTACACTACTCCAATCTACTCATCCTTAAACCCAAGTGATTAGCATTTCTTTCCTCTCCTTTTAACTTCTGAAGCAGCTTTCATGAAGGTCACCAACGATGTCTACATCCATCTTTTAGTCCTTGATGGATATCTCAGCAGCATTTGATACTACTGATTATGCCTTCAATCTCTGAATCGTTTTCTTAATGCTTTATCAACACTTTTGGAGGTTTTCTTCAACCGAGTTGACATTTCAGTTCATCTTTTGATTATTCCACTTTTTGGTGTCTCTGAAATCCTGACATTCCTCAAGTCTCTACCTTAAGCCCTTTTCTCTTCTATCCATACTTTTCCTGAGTTAAATCATCAACTTTATATTGTTACCTCCTAATTCTTTAGATTTCATTTAGATCTTTCAAGACACACATCTCCAACTGCACTCTGAATATTCTCTTTTGGATAGCTCATGGGCACCTCAAATTTAACTTTTTGAAAAACTGGTCAACCACTTGTAAAAGAATGAAACTAAAACACTTTCTAAGACCATACACAAAAATAAACTCAAAATGGATTAAAGATCTAAATGTAAGACCAGAAACTATAAAACTCCTAGAGGAGAAGATAGGCAAAACACTCTTCGACATAAATCACAGCAAGATCCTCTATGACCCACCTCCCAGAATATTGGAAATAAAAGCAAAAATAAGCAAAGGGGACCTAATTAAACTTAAAAGCTTTTGCACAATAAAGGAAACTATAAGCAAGGTGAAAAGACAGCCTTCTGAATGGGAGAAAATAATAGCAAACGAAGAAAGCAATAAATGCTGGAGAGGGTGTGGAGAAAAGGGAACCCTCTTATACTGTTGGTGGGAATGCAAACTAGTACAGCTACTATGGAGAACAGTGTGTAGTTTCCTTAAAAAACTGGAAATAGAACTGCCATATGACCCAGCAATCCCACTCCTGGGCATACACACCATGGAAACCAGATCTGAAAGAGACACGTGCACCCCAATGTTCATTGCAGCACTGTTTATCATAGCCAGGACATGGAAGCAACCTAGATGCCCATCAGCAGATGAATGGATAAGAAAGCTGTGGTACATATACACCATGGAATATTACTCAGCCATTAAAAATAATTCATTTGAATCAGTTCTAATGAGATGGATGAAACTGGAGCACACTATACAGGGTGAAGTAAGCCAGAAAGATAAAGACCAATACAGTATACTAACGCATATATATGGAATTTTAAAAGTTGGTAACGATAACCCTATATGCAGGACAGAAAAAGAGACACAGATGTATAGAACAGACTTTTGGACTCTGTGGGAGAAGGCGAGGGATGATCTGAGAGAATAGCATTGAAACATACATATTATCAAGTGTGAAACAGATCACCAGCCCAGGTTGGATGCATGAGACAAGTGCTCAGGACTGGTGAACTGGGAAGACCCAGAGGGGTGGGATGGGGAGGGAGGTGGGAGGGGGGATCAGGATGGGGAACACATGTAAATCCATGGCTGATTCATGTCAGTGTATGGCAAAAACTACAATATTGTAAAGTAATTAGCCTCCAACTAATAAAAATAAATGAAAAAATAAAATAAAATAACTTAAATTAAATTAAAATCTATTATATTTTTTCAGAAATCTGATGTCCCCTACTTTTCTAATATATCAGAGAATATGAGTTTCATCCATTAAATGATCCAAAGCAGACACTTGAGATTCATCATTTATACCTTCTCTCTTTAAATGCCCATATTCCATCAATTATATTGATCTAATTATTTTAAATATAAATCAAAAATCCTTAACATAACAACCAGGATCTCCACAATCTGGTCCCACAACTTCTTCAGCTTTCATGTTATAGTCCAGGAATGCTTGCCAAAAAAAAAAAAAAAAAAATCCTCTATTTTCTAAATATACGTATGTTAAAAGCTATTTCCATATGAAAGATGGTGAATTACTGTACCGCTTCATTTCCAAGGTTCCAGCTACAGTATTTAACTATTTGCTTATAAATTTTAACCTAAGTATTCACTGAAACTTCTATCTTTTCTCTGAAGACAATCAGGAATCAAGCCACAAATAAACCATGTGGTGAAGGAGAATGAGACTGCTGCCGCTCTCTAAGGTTGGGTAATCACACAGCAAGGTGGTCAAAGCTCTACCTATGCACTGAGTTGTCATTCATTGATACTGCACCTCTCTGAACAATGGTCACTGTGGACAAATTAAAGTCTAAACCTGTAGTGCCCACTCTTCTAAAAAAAGGAAACGGAACTTGTATTCTTCAGTGCTAAAGTCCCTTGGCTATGAGAATTCCCCTTGACTGAGAATAAGTATTTTCATCCCTACTCTTATCTTCAAACAAGGCTAGGTTGTGCTGTTGCTCAGGTATATTTATCATTCAAGTTTCTTTTTTTTAACTTTTTATTTTATATTGGGGTATAGCCGATTAACAATGTGGAACAGCAAAGAGACTCAGCCATACACATATATGTATCCATTCTCCCCCAAACACCCCTCCAATCTAGATGTCATTCAAGTCTAAATTAAACCCCATGTACTTATGACTTTAAAAGCACTTATCAAAATTTATTGCATTTATTTGTCTACCATCTATCTTTCTTGAGTGTAAAGACATTTTCATGTTCATAGTTTTATCTGCTTATTCTAGTTGAATTTCTATAAAACACTTAATTTTTATTGAATAAATGAGCAATGTTTAAATCACACACACAAGCTCCTTGCTACATTTGGAGCCACATCCCTCCCCATGCCACCTCATCCCACCTCTATTCTCCCTTCTATTTACTCTGCTTATTCAATGTGAATGTTAAACTGTAGTTTAATGAATAAATAGCTAAAATAAATATATAATTAATTAATTAACAGTCACGCATATTTACACATATACCCAGAAACACATGAAATCAAAGGCAGAGTTAAAAAAATCAAAATGCATTCAGTGCTTTAGAACCCAGTTTTTAGAGCCAAATATCTTGAAATTTCACTTAATCTGTGCCTTTTTTTCATTACTAAACAAATAATTTGATTACTCTAAAACTCCTGCTTCCTCATAGAGGAAGATTTTCTACAGGAGAGAAGTTCTCCTCAGCTCGATGACTGGAAAACATTAAGTTCTCAATAAATAGTGACTAGAACATAACACTATTATGATGGCAAACAAGGGCATATATATGTATGGATGACATGTGTGCATACTCAGGTACTAAGCCGAGTCCGACTCTTTGCGACTCCGTGGACTGTAACCCATGGGCTCCGCTGTCCATGGGATTCTCCAGGCAAGAATACTGGAGTGGGTTGCCATTTCCTAATCCAGGGGATCTTAACAACCCAGAGATCGAACCCACATCTCCTTATTGGCAGACAGATTCTTTACCCCTGAACCACCAGGGAAGCTGATATGGAGGACAGAAAGTGTCAAATCACACAAAAAGCACAAAGTCTGAGTTCACTTTTCTAGATCCAAGCTCTCAGACCATTGGTTTGGCTGCTGAATTGTGTCTGCCTGACACCCCAGTCTTGTTTGTTTTCCGTTCTCACTTCAATGCTTAGACTTCACAATCTGGCTCCCAGGCCTGTGGACTAGCTCAGGGGGAAAGCAGGACTGAGCCCACCTTGTCTTCGCTTGCTCCTGCTCTGAGGTCCTCTGTGTGTCTCTCAGTCAGTCTGCCCCAGGATCTGGCCTGAGCTGTGCCTGTGGCTTTCCAATCATTCCTGCCCTGCCCCCCAAAACAACACTCACCAATCCCCAGCTCCTTCATGAGAATGGACAGAAATGACATTCTCAAGGGGCCAATCTTCTTCTTTCTTTCCTGGGTTTTCGGAGGGGGTACTCAGGCTGTGGACAGCTGAGAGACAGAAGACACTAATCCAATCATTGACTTGTGGGAGGCCCCAGGAGACTCTTCCCAGAGGGTCTAGCTCATAAGGTTCTGAGGTCCCAAAGGCTGGGGTGGACTGAGTCCCTGCAGGCTCAGGTCTTCCAGGAGAATCAGTGTCTCAAGGAGTCTAATCTCCTGGAGCTTTCAAAATGGCCACGAAAAACATCTACAGTGATATTCTCCATATTTCTTTTGTAAGTGTGTCTATGTATACGTGTACACACACAAACACACATCGACTACTTTTTGACCCACTCTTCTAGAAAAGGAAATCTAGGTTGTTTCCATATCTTGGCTATTGCGAATAATGCTATAATAAATATTGGAGTGCAGATATCACTTCAAGATACTGATTTTTTACTCTCGACATTATAGCTTTTGTATATATACCTAGGGGCTTCCCAGGTAGCTCAAGTGGTAAAGAATTCTTCTGCCAATGCAGGAGCCACAGGAGACATGGTTTCAATCCCTGGAAATGAAAGATCCCCTTCAGGAGGAAATGGCAACCCACCCTAGTATTCTTGCCAGGATAATCCTATGGACAGAAGAGCTTCACAGGCTATACTTATTGCAGTTGCAGAGTCAGGCACAACTGAAGTGACTGAGCATGCATGCATATATACCTACAAGTGGAATTGCTGGACCATATGGTAGTTCTAATTTCATTTTTTGAGAAGCCATCATGCTTTTTCCATAATTGCTGTAACAATTTACATTCTTACCAACAGTGTACAAGGGTTTCCTTTTCTACACATCCTCACCAACATTTGTCATCTCTGGTCTTTTGGGTAATAGCTATCCTAACAGGTGTGAAGTTAAATCCTACTGTGGTTTTGATTTGCACTTCCCTGATGACTAGAGTTGTTGAGTGCTTTTTCATGTGACTGTTGATCATTTGTTTTCTTCTTTGAAAAAAAAGTCTTTTCAAGTCTTTAGCCTGTGTTTAATCAGATTAAGTTTAGTCAGTTCATTATTATTATAATCATTTTAAAATTGTATGTGTTCCATCTATATTTTGGGTGTCAACCCCTTTTCAAATCTATGGCTTACAAATATTTTCTCCCATTCCATAAGTTATCTTTTCATTTATATGACTGCTTTTTTTTTTGCTGTACAGAGGCTTTCTAATTTTATGTAATCTCACTAGTTTATTTTTGCTTATTTTACCTGTGTTTTTTGTGTGTGTATCATCTAAAAAATTACTGTCAAGACAAAGGTAAAAGCTTTCACCATAAGTTTTCTACTAAGAGTTTTATAAATTCAGGTCATATGTTGAAACCATTAACCCATTTTGAGGGACCTTCCTGATGATCCAGTGGTTAAGATTCTGCTCTTCCATTGCAGGAGGTGAGGGTTAGATCCCTAGTCATGGATCAAAGATCTTGCATACCATGCAGCACAGCCAAAAAAAAAACCAAAAAAAGTAAGTCATTAATCCATTTTGATTTAAGCTTTGTCAGTGATGCAACATCAGGATCCAGTAATTTGATTTTGTCTGTCAGTATCGTTTTCCCAACATCTTTTATTAAATAGACTATCCTTTCCCTGTTGGTGCCCTTGTGGACTGTATATGTGAGGGTTCATTTCTTGGCTTTCTAATCTGTTCCACTGATCCATGTGTCTGCTTTTATGCTATTCTATAATCACCATAGGGTTTTTTATTACTAATGATTTATAATATAATTTGAAATCAGGAAATGTTATGATTCCAGCTCTGAACTTTTATGATGAGATTGTTTTCATTACTTAGTCTTATGTGGCTCCTTGAAAATTTAAGATTACTTTTTCCATGCCTGTGAAAAATGGCATTGGAATTTTGACAGAATTGCCCTGAATCTGCAGATGGGTTTGGATTGTATGAACATTTTAACAACATTCGTTCTCCCAATTCAAGAACATTATACATCTTTCCATTTAAAAGACACCCCCACTTTTCAGAAGTTTGCTTTACACCAGTTAACTTCTATGAAACACTTAAATTAATAACTGTTTTCACTAACTGAAAAAAATTGGAGGAAGATATTGCTTTTATCAATAAAGGTGAAAAGGGAAAAGAATGCTCAGCATTAGGTTTGCAACTAACCGTCATAGAGGAGTGCACACCAAGAGCAGCAGGACTGATACTGCATGAAGCTTCCCTGGGAACTCTTCTCAGTATCTCAGCATCAGCCTTCAGAGCTTTGTGCTGTGTCAGTGAGCATTTATGCCTTATCTCAATTATTTTTGCATCCATTAGCAAGATGTGTCTTAAGGTTATTTTTGTTTTATCCTATTTTGACTTACCAAAGGTTTCATAAGAATGATCTCCTTTGGAAGATAATTGCAAACAGAGCAATGGACAAAAGATAAATCTCCAGAATATATAAGCAGCTCATATAGCTCAATATCAGAGAAATAAACAGCCCAATCGAAAAATGAGCAGAAGACCTAAATGGACATTTCTCCAAAGAAGACATACAGATGGTCAATAAATACATGAAAAGATGCCCAACATCACTCATTATTAGAGAAATGCAAATAAAAAATACAGCAAGTTATCACCTCAGACCAAACAGAATGGCCATCATTAAAAAAACTACAAGTGATGAATGCTGGATAGGATGTGGAGAAAAGGAATGCTTTTGCACTGTTGGTGGGAATGTAAATTGGTACAGCTACTATGAAGAGCAGTATGAAAATTCCTTAACAAACTAGGAATAAAACTACCATATGACCCAGCAATCCCACTACTGGGCCTATATCCTGAGAAAACCACAATTCAAAAAGACCTGTGTACCCCAATATTCATTGCAGCGCTATTTACAATAGCCAGGGCATGGAAGCCACCTACAGGTCCATCAACAGATGAATGGATAAAGAAGCTATGGTACATAGACACAGTGGAATATTACTCAGTCATAAAAGGAACGAATTTGAGTCAGTTGTTGTGAGGTGGATTAACCTAGAGCCTTTTACCAGAATGAAATAAGTCAGAAAGAGAAAAAACAAGTATTACATATTAGCACTTATATATCGAATCTAGAAAAATGTACTGATGAACATATTAACAGAGAAGAAATGGAGACACAGTGGTAGAGAATGGAATGCTGGACACAGCCGGGGAAGGAAAGGGTAGGACAAGTTGAGAAAGCAGCATTGAAATATACACACTATCATGCAAAATACATAACTAGCAGGAAGCTGCTGTATAATACAGGGATCCCAGCTTGGTGCTCTGTGATGACCTAGAGGGGTGAGATGGGGTGGGGAAGAGAGGCTGAAGAGGGAAGAAATATATATAATTATAACGGATCCTCATTGAGGTATGGCAAAGACTACCACAGCATTGTAAAGCAATTATCCTCCAATTAAAAAAAAAAGAATGTTCTCCTTTGGCATAATAGGAAAACCTGTATTTGTGGCTTTTTCATTTCTTTTATCAATGTCTTAAAGTTTTCAGTGTACAGGTCTTTTGCCTCCTCTGCCTGATTTATGCCATCCTTCATCCTGACTTGAATGACATCTCATGATTTTCACTTTTTTTTAGGGAATATGCAATTTTGTTCAAGGAGGGCTTTCCTAAAAACCTTATTTGAATCTACTTTCCTCTAACAGTCTCTCTCCAAAGGCAATGCATTTAACATTTTTATTTGTCATCAGTAAATATAGAAACACCTCTTTCCTGTAGATCATGCCATTTTCTTAATATGCAAAATCACTTGTAGACTGTTCTTGCTTTAAATAGCATTTGCTTTTTTAAACTTCTTATGACATTAATATATGCTATAAACTTCTCCTAGCTTTTCCATTGTTCATTGGAACATGATTATGTCCTCTTGGTAGAAAACAAAACGGTGACCTTCTCTCCGATCTGCTTGGTCTTGGCACCATAAATAATGGGGTTGAGGGCAGGTGGGATAACAATGTAGAGGTTGGCAAACATGATGTGGAAAGTGTGGGAGACACTGTGTCCAAAGCGGTGGGCAAGAACGGAGAAAACGGCAGGTGTATAAAACATGAGGATCACACAGACATGGGAACCACAGGTGCCCAGGGCCTTCTGGTGGGCTTCTTGGGAGGGGAGGCGGAAGACAGCACAGAGGATGTGTGTGTAAGAAACAGCAATGAGGATCACATCCGAGATGACTGTCATGATGGGAACACAAAAGCCATACCAGATGTTGATGGAGATGTCCGCACAGGCGAGCCGGGCAACACCTATGTGCTCACAGTATGTGTGTGGTATGATGCGTGTCCTACAGAAAGGCAGTCTTGTAAGCAAGAATACAACTGGAAGGATGATGCAGAAACTACGAAAGGAGATTCCCACCACAATCTTGATGATGGTCTTGGGGGTCAAGATAGTGTTGTATCTCAAGGGAGAACAGATGGCCACATAGCGGTCAAATGCCATGGCCATCAGGATGGCTGAATCCAGGACAAAGCTGTAGTGGAGGAAGAACATTTGTGTGAGGCACCCTGGGAATGTGATTTCTCGAGCCCCAAGCCAAAAGATACTGAGTGTTTTAGGAACACCAGCTGTGGACAAGGTGAGGTCAGTCATGGCCAGCAAGGAGAGAAAGAAGAACATGGGTTTGTGAAGGCTGCGCTCCACCAAGATTAGGTAGAGAAGGATGCAGTTTCCCACAATGGCTACAACATAAACGATACAGAAGGGAATCCCAATCCACACATGGGCATGCTCCAGGCCTGGGATCCCCACCAGAATGAAGGGTCCTGCGTTGTCACTGCTCAGGTTGAAAAGGACCATAGCAGACCAGGATGGCACAAGTCCCAGGTCCTGAGGACAGAGAGTGATAAATGTTAGGCTCACTTGAGTCACTCTCACTTCCAACAGCTCATTATATATACCCCCAAATAAAGTGGCTGTCTAATTATAATTCAAAGTGAGACACTTTTGTATGAAGAAAGATTATTATGAAGATAGCTGGTAACAGCAGGAGCCAGGTTGTCTCATATATGTTGGAAAGTACAGTCATTCCCTTAAAGAGTTTATCTTATTCACTCTGGTTGCCTCTGATGCTTCACACAGCTTTTCCAAGCAGTGTTCCATACTGACATGAATCACTTTTTATCCACAGTATACTGTTGTTACAAACTACCAATTTCCAGGGCATATTTTTCTGTGGGTTGGTGGATTACAGCACACATGATATTATGGACATCGGTAGTTAATATTGGCTTCCTCTGTCACTGTTGAATATCAGTTTCTGCCCCCAGCAATTATTCACTCTTTTCCATTTGTGAGGTCCATACACTTTTTTGCCATTCAAAAACCTAATTCAGTTTAGCCAATACTGCCTGAGTCCCACACTATGCTGGTAAACAGGTATAACTTAAATTTAAATTTTGCTCCTCCAAAAATACTTTTTTCCAGCACTCTGTAAACTATACAGTTGTATAATATCCTAATGCTTAGGACTTAATAACAATTTTGGTCAAGATTTCTGTCCAAAAGTACAATTATTTTTTTGCAAATACATATTCTATTGGATAGACACATAGGCTCCAGGACATTTACTCTTAGATACACACACACTTATTAGTTCATAAAATTCAAGCCTCCCATGATCTATACTTGCGTTCTTTCATACATTTTACCATCATATTTTTACCCACAGGCAATCTTACACAATAGGGGCATTGGTGGTTCAGTGGTAGAATTCTCGCCTCCCACGCAGGAGATGCTGGTTTGATTTCCAGCCAGTGCATCACGGTTGTGTTTGGTTTGGGCTTCATTGGTGGTTCAGGCAGTAAAGAATCCACCGGCAGTCTGGGAGACCTGGGGTCAAGCCCGGGCTGGGAAGATCCCCTGGAGAAGGGCATGGCAACCCACACCAGTATTCTTGCCTGGAGAATCCCCAGGGACAGAAGAGCTTGGTGGGCTACAGGCCATGGGGTCACAAAGATCAGACAGGACTGAGAGAGTGAGCACAATCTTACACAAACCCCCTTTTTGCTCTCACACATGAAGGCGCATGTCATACACACTTACACTAAGAAAAACACCAAGTATTTCAGGACAGAATTGTCTCATTGCCAGTTTCTTTGTAATTTCCCAAAATATTTACTCTTGAGTTAATTTATTAAAGACTGAGTCCTCGAAATTTGCCATTTGCAGCAACATAAATGGACTTGGAGGGTGTTAAGCTAGCTGAAATAATTCAGAGAGAGAGAAATACTGTAGGATATAAATTATATGTGAAATATTAAAAAAAGAAAAAGAAAAAAACCAACAAACTACTGAATATAACAAGAAAGAAGCTAGCTCACAGATATAGAGGTTTCACTAGTGATTACCAGGGGGAAGGGGTAAGCGGCAATACAGTGGTCGGGGAGTAGGAGGTACACATTTATTGTGTGTAAGGGGCTACAAGGATATATTGTACTACAGGGGGAATACAGCCAATATTTTGTAATGACTGTAAACGAAGTGTAACCACTGAAAATTGTATTAAAAAATGATTCACTTCCCAGGTGGGAATAAACATGAGCTGTTCATTTGAGATCAAGAAGAGAGTGGTAGCAGTAGACTCTCAAACCAAGAATGTCCACATACTTAAGCCCACTTGTCAAGCTCGGGCTATGGGTCCTTGTCACACATCTAACAGAAATGACCAAAACAACACTTACCTTGGCCATCCTTAACCCAGCTGTTTATCTTTCTAATCATTTGAAGCATGTATCCAAGTACAGGAGACCATAAATTCGGCTTAAAAATCTGAGTTGTTCAGGAAAAAAAGTTGTAGCACTCAGTCCATGGCTCCTAGAAAATGGAGCCTTGAGTTTTTCATTCACTTTCTCTTTCTCTGAAAATCATATTTACAACCAAACCTCTTCAAATAACCAGCACTCACCTAGTTTGGCTACTGGGCCAAATGCAGAGCAGAAAGATTATGGTGATAGACACACAAAAAATCTGCAAGAGGACCAGACACATAAACCCAAGAAAAAAGGGGAGATGGAAGAAAAATACCGATAGGCTGATTCCCTGTTCTTTCCCCACCTACCCCACCCCCCCAACACTGGCCATTGTTCAATGACAAGAAGAGGTAAATAATTAGGGCCTGAGGGACTCTAACACCCTCTCTTTTTATCCTCGAGAGAAGACTATGAAGATTACACTAACCCTGATGGGGCCTGTGAGCTGACACAACCTCAGGGTATATATAATTTTTTGGGTATTTAATAATCTATTTATTGTTACATCATAATTAGGCATTAACAATGGCATAGGAATACAGAGCTAGAATTATGTGATATGGCTAATCTAATTATAAAGCTTACATATAATTATTAATTTTTATTTTCTGATGAGTTATCGTGAAATATGCTTTGTCCTACTAATACATTTTTTCTTTTTAATTTATTATTTTTTTTGAAGGATACTTGCTTTACAGAATTTTGTTGTTCTCTGTCAAACCACAACACGAATCAGCCATAGGTGCACATTTAGCCCCTCCCTTCGGAACCTCCCTCCCATTTCCCTCCCCATCCCACCCCTCTACAGAGCCATTGTTTGAGTTTCCTGAGCCATACAGCAAATTCCCATTGGCTATCTATTTTACATATGGTCATGTAAGCTTCTGTGTTACTCTTTATACACATCTCACCCTCTCCTCCTCTCTCGCTGTGTCCATAAGCCTATTCTCTATGTCTGTATCTCCATTGTTGCCCTGTAAATAAATTCTTTGGTACCATTTTTCTAGATGGCGTATACATGATAGAATACAATATTTATCTTTCTCTTTCTGACTCATGTCGCTCTGTATAATAGGTTCTAGTTTCATCTACCTCATCAGAACTGACTCAAATATGTTCCTTTTTAAGGCTGAGTAATATTCCACTGTGTATATAAAAGTGCTGCACTCAATATGCCAGCAAATTTGGAAAACTAGGCATTGGCCACTGGACTGGAAAAGGTCAGTTTTCATTCCAATCCCAAGGAAAGACAATGCCAAAGAATGCTCAAACTACCACACAATTGTACTTATCTCACATGCTAATAAAGCAATGCTGAAAATTCTCCAAGCCAGTCTTCAACAGTACATGAACCATGAACTTCCAGATGTCCAAGCTGGATTTAGAACAGGCAGAGGAACCAGAGATCAAATTGCCAACATCCATTGGATCATCGAATAGAGGAAGAGTGTTCCAGAAAAACATCTATTTCTGCTTTATTGACTATGCCAAAGACTTTGACTGTGTGGACCACAACAAACTGTAGAAAAATCTGAAAGCGAGGGGAATACCAGAGCACCTGATAGCATCTTGAGAAATCTGCATGCGGGTCAGGAAGCAATAGTTAGAACTGGACATGGAACAACAGACTGGTTCCAAATGGGAAAGGAGTACATCAAGGCTGTACATGGAGAAGGCAGTGGCAACCCACTCCAGTACTGTTCCTGGAAAATCCGATGGATGGAGGAGCCTTGCAGGCTGCAGTCCATGGGGTCGCAAAGAGTCGGACACGACTGAGCAACTTCACTTTCACTTTTCACTTTCCTGCATTGGAGAAGGAAATGGCAACCCACTCCAGTGTTCTTGCCTGGAGAATCATAGGGATGGTGGAGCCTGGTGGGCTGCGGCCTATGGGGTCGCACAGAGCCAGACACGACTGAACAGACTTAGCAGCAGCAGCAGCAGCAGCAAGACTGTACATTGTCACCCTGCTTATTTAACATATACGCAGAGTACATCATGAGAAACACTGTGTTGGATGAAGCACAAGCTGGAATCAAGATTGCTGGGAGAAATATCAATAACCTCAAATATGCAGATGACATCACCCTTATGGCAGAAAGCAAAGAAAAACTAAAGAGCCTCTCGATGAAAGTGAAAGAGAGTGAAAAAGTTGACTTAAAACTCAATATTCAGAAAACTAAGATCATGGCATCTGGTCCCATCACTTCATGGCAAATAGATGGGCAAGCAATGGAAACAGTATCAGACTTTATTTTTCTTGGCACCAAAATCACTACAGATGTTGATTGCAGCCATGAAATTAAAAGACGCTTACTCCTCGGAAGAAAAGTTATGACCAAAATAGACGGCATATTAAAAAGCAGAGACATTACTTTGCCAACAAAGGTCCATCTAGCCAAAGCTATGGTTTTTCCCATAGTCATGTATGGATATGAGTGTTGGACCATAAAGAAAGCTGAGCACTGAAGAACTGATGCGTTTGAACTGTGCTGTTGGAGAAGACTCTTGAGAATCCCTTGGACTGCAAAGAGATCCAACCAGTCCATCCTAAAGGAAATCAGTTCTGAATATTCATTAGAAGGACTGATGCTGAAGCTGAAACGCCAATACTTTGGCCCCCTGATGTGAAGAACCACTCATTTGAAAAGCCCTTGATGCTGGGAAAGATAGAAGGCAGAAGGAGAAAGGGATGACAGAGGATGAGATGGTTGGATGGCATCATCGACTCAATGGACATGAGTTTAAGGAAACTCCCAGAGTTGGTGATAGACAGGGAGGACTGCCGTGCTGCAGTCTATGGGTTCGCAAAAAGT